TGCCCCAGAATCCAACCCCGTCTCACTATTCCCACTACTCCCACTGTGGTCCACATTATCACCGTCTTACCTCCCACCCGCATTCACACACCAGCCTCCCAACCTCCCATGGTCTGTCCTCCATGCCACAGCCACAACAGTGCTTTGCAGAAGGGGTCAGGGAACTTCCCTCTGCAAGCTGGAGTAAACATTTAGGCTTTGCAAGCCAAGAGGCAAACTGAAAGCTATTACACAGATCTTTAAGTAACAAAAACAAAATTCCTCAACATTTTCTATCCACAAAATTAAAAATGTAATACAGTATAATTTTTTGTAATAAAGGTCTATTAATGAGAAAACTGGAATTTTCACAAAAATAAATACCATTTTGCTTAAAAGTCAGGGATTCAAAGCCAGTATTCCCTATTGTCAAATCACCTACAAATGCTTTATCTGTAAATACCATTTTTAGGGGCTAGTATTGTGGTATAAAAGGTCAAGCCGCTGCCTGTAATACCAGCATCCCATATGGGTGCCTGTTCGAATCTCAGCTACTCCACTTTTTTTTTTTTTTTTTTAAGATTTATTTTATTTATTTGAAAGACAGAGTTACAGGGAGATGTAGAGACAGAGAGAGAGGTCTTCCATCCCCAATTGGTTCACTCCCCAATTGGCCACAACGGCTGGAGCTGTGCTAATCTGAATCCAGGAGCTTCTTCCGGGCCTTCCACGCAGGTACAGGGGTCCAAAGACTTGGGCCATCTTCTGCTGCTTTCCCAGGCTGTAGCAGAGAGCTGGATCAAAAAAGGAACAGCTGGGACTAGAACCAGCGCCCATATGGGATGCCGGCGCTTCAGGCCAGGGCTTTAACCGGCTGCACCACAGCACTGGCCCCTCCACTTTTTTTTTTTTTTTTTTTAAAGATTTATTTATTTATTTGAAAGGCAGAGTTTAGAGAGAGAGGGCGGGAGAGACAGAAAGATCCCACATCTGCTGGCTCACTCCCCAATGGCCGCAGCTGGGCCAGGTCCAAGGTAGGAGCCAGGAGCTTCTTCTGGGTCTCCCACGTGGGAGAAGGGTCCCTGAAGACTTGGGCCATGCTCTACTGCTTTCCCAGGCACATTAGCAGGGAGCAGGATCAGAAGTGCAGCAGCCGAGACATGAACTGGCACATAAATAGGATGCTGGCATCATACGCAGCGGCCTTATCCGCTATGCCACAACACTGGGCCTGCTGCTCTACTTTTGATCCAGTTCACTGCTTAAGTGCCTGGGAAAGCAACAGCAGATGGCCCAAGTCCTTGGGCTCCTGTACCCAATATGTGGGAAACCTGGATGAAGCTCCTGGCTCCTGGCTTCAGTCTGGCCCAGCCCTGGTCATTACAGACATTTGGGGAGTAAACCAGGAAATAGAACTTCTCTCTCTCCAATTCTGCATTTCAAATAAAATAAATATTAAAAAACAAACAAAAAAATAAAAAAAATTTTTAGCTATGGGTCATAGGCAATAGGCAGTAGAATGGACTTACTCTGTGGGCTATGGTTTGCTGATCTCTGTTTAAAATATAATCAGATCATATCACTCTAACCTCAAAACCCTGAGAATTAGTTTTATCTTGTTGTGTAACAACCAACCATAACTACAGTCACTTAAAGTAACACCCACGTATTATCCTCACCGTTCTGCAGGTCAGAAGGTGTCCACCTAGGGTCCCACCAGTGGAAGTGATGGCGACCTCCCATGTGGAGCACCTGGGACAGGATACAGGATCCACACCCAGGCTCAGGCATGTTGTTGGCAGAAGCCAGCTCCTTGTGCCCCGAGGTGGGAGGTCCCCATTCCCTGGCAGGCAGGATCTGTGCCTCCTCCAGCCCCAGGCAAGTCCCTTCCTCTCTGATGTAATTTCCCGCGGTTTTCCTCGTTCATCCACACTGGCCTTCTTGCTGTGGCTGGAACTGCCCACCCTCTGTGCACTTCAGGATCTACCCAAGAGCTCCTCTCTGATGCTGACTTCGTCAGCTCCAGGATCTCCAGGTCTTTACTTAACCTTCACCTCTTCAGCGAGGCGTATCTGATCGTGCTTTTTGAACAGTCCCATCTGCATTCCTCCTTCCAGCACTAGCTCCCCTACCCTGCTCCACTTTTTCTTCTTCCTTCTCCTGTACTAACCTTTAACATCTCGTTTACAACATTTGCTGTGTCTCCTTCCTAGAATTAAGCTCAAAGGTAAGGATTTTTTCGGTTCACTGTCGTATTCTAAGCATCTAGCTCAGTGGCTACCACAATATGAATCTATGAATCTCTCTCTCTCTCTCTTTTTTTTTTTTTTTTTTGACAGGCAGAGTAGACAGTGAGAGAGAGAGAGAGAGAGAGAGACAGAAAGGTCTTCCTTTTTTCCGTTGGTTCACTCCACAATGGCAGCTGCGGCCGGCGTGCTGCAGCCGGCACACCGCGCTGATCCGAAGGCAGGAGCCAGGTACTTTCTCCTGGTCTCCCATGCGGGTACAGGGCCCAAGCACTTGGGCCATCCTCCACTGCACTCCCGGGCCACAGCAGAGAGCTGGCCTGGAAGAGGGGCAACCAGGACAGAATCCGGCGCCCCGACGGGGACTAGAACCCGGTGTGCCGGCGCCACAGGCGGAGGATTAGCCTATTGAGCCGCAGCACCGGCCACAATATGAATCTCAATATTGATCACAAATATTCACTGAATGAATGAAGTTCTCAGAAACTCTTGTTTCAGTTTTCTGCATACTTATGTACTTACTAAGTTGAGACATAAAACATATTTCTAGTTTTGTTTCTTTTAAGATTTATTGGCCAGCGCCGTGGCTCACTAGGCTAATCCTCCGCCTTGCGGCGCCGGCACACCGGGTTCTAGTCCCAGTCGGGGCACCGGATTCTGTCCCAGTTGCCCCTCTTTCAGGCCAGCTCTCTGCTGTGGCCAGGGAGTGCAGTGGAGGATGGCCCAGGTGCTTGGGCCCTGTACCCCATGGGAGACCAGGAGAAGCACCTGGCTCCTGCCATTGGATCAGCGCAGTGTGGCAGCTGCAGCATGCCGGCCACAGCGTCCATTGGAGGGTGAACCAATGGCAAAAGGAAGACCTTTCTTTCTGTCTCTCTCTCTCTCGCTGTCCACTCTGCCTGTCAAAAAAAAAAAAAAAGATTTATTAATTTTTTGAAAGGCAGAATTATAGAGAAAGGAGGATCTTCCATCTGCTGGTTCACTTCCCCAAATGGCCACAACAGCCAGGGCTGGGCCAGGCTGAAGCCAGGAACCTGAAGCTTCTTCTGGGTTTCCCACATGGATAGCAGGGGCCCAAGCACTTGGCCATCTTCCATTGCTTTCACAGGTGCATTAGCAGCAGGCTGGATCAGTACAGTAGGGGCCAAAGCTGTGGCACAGCTGGTTAAGCTATGGCCTGCAGAACCAGCATCCAATATAGGCATGGTTTGAGTCCAGGCTGCTCCATTTCCGATCCAGTTCCCTGCTAATGCACCTGGAAAAGCAGTGAAGGATGGCCCAAGTCCTTGGGCCCCTGCACCCATGTGGGAGACTTGGAGGAAACTCCTGGCTCCTGGCTTTGGATCAGTGCAGCTCCAGCCATTGTGGCCATTTGGGGAGTGAACCAGCAGATGGAAGATCTCTCTTTCTCTTTCTCTCTCTCTCTATCACTCCTCTCTTTCTGTAACTCTGCATTTCAAATAAAATAAATAAATCTTAAAAAAAAAAGTAGAGTAGCTGGGACATGAATTGGTGCCCACAAAAATTGCCAGTGTCGCAGGTGGTGGCTTAACATTCTATGCCACAATGTCAGCCCCTAAAATATATTTCTTACTGTGGAACAAAATCAAGAGAGTTTGAAAATTACTGACTGGAGGGATGGGGCCGGCACTGTGGCGTATTGGGTAAAACCACCACCTGCACTGTCAGCATCCCATATGGGTGCCAGTTCGAGTCCTGGCTGCTCCATTTCCGATCCAGTTCCCTGCTAATGCACCTGGAAAAGCAGTGAAGGATGGCTCAAGTCCTGGGCCCCTGCACCCATGTGGGAGACCGGGAAGAAGGTCTTGGCTTCTGGCTTCAGATTTGTGCAGCTCCAGCCATTGTAGCCAACTGGGGAGTGAACCAGTGGATGGAAGATCTCTCTCTCTGTCTCTCTCTGTGTAACTCTGACTTTCAAATAAATAAATAAATCCCTGCAAATGCACCTGGGAAGGCAGCAGAAGATGGCCCAAATACCTGCGCCCCTGACACCCATGTGGGAGACAAGGATGGAGTTCCTGGCTCCTAGCTTCAGCCAGGCCCAACAGTGGCTGTTGTAGCCATTTGGGGAGTGAACCAGTGGGTGGAAGATCACTCTGTCTCTCCCTCTCTGTCACTCTACCTTTCAAATCAATAAAATAAATCTTTTTAAAAAATAAAATTACTGGAGTTAAGACTACATGACCTGTAAGATCCTTCCAAGTTTGAGTACTTGGTAACATTAACACTGAAAAAAGCAAAGCAGTCATTCCTACTTGCTCTGCAATTGTAGATTAAGAAAAAAAAAAAAAAAAAAAAATGGGGCCGGTGCTGTGTCTCAGTGGGTTAACGCCCTGGCCTGAAGCACCCGCATCCCATATGGGTGCCTGTTCAAGACCTGGCTGCTCCTCTTCCGATCCAGCTCTCTGCTATGGCCTGAGAAAGCAGTAGAAGATGGCCCAAGTCCTTGGGCCCCTGCTTTGGATCGGCAGAGCTCCAGCCATTGCAGCCAACTGGGGAGTGAACCAGTGGATGGAAGACCTCTCTTTCTGCCTCTCCTCTCTCTGTGTAATTCTTTCAAATAAATAAATATTAAAAAAAAAAAACACACAAAAAACAAAAACCTGTGGAAATAGCAAGAATCTTGAATGCCTTAAAATACAAAAACCCTGAAATTAACCTCTCCATCAGAAAGAGATATTCCTTCAGAGCAAATGACCAAAGAGAACATTTTCCAGCTCAGAATTTCTCTGGCTGTAGCTTCCATTCACTTACTGAAGGAGCGAGGAGGAGAGCAGAAAGACATCACTCAACGTCTCTGCTGTGGCGATTGTCAGCTGGACGGCCGTGGGGAGCAGAGACCACTTCTGAAGGATGTACGACTTCCACTCGTCCACGGGCAGGTCCATTGCACTTCAGATCTGCGAAATGCGGAACACATAGAAGCTCAGATTTGTACACAACAGCTGGAAAATCACGGAGCCATCCTCGTGAGCGTAAAGCAACAAGGTCCCTGCCTGTGGTCTCTTTCTACCGTTCCAAGCTGGGGAAGGACCTGTATTCTCTCACTCCAGTTCACTCAGCATCCTCTCGCTGAGAAATGCTTGTGGGAAGCTGGCTCTGTCCCAGGCTCCGAGCCAGCCCACAGTACTATGAAAACAAGTCTTAGGCCGGTGCCGCGGCTCACTAGGCTAATCCTCCACCTAGCGGCGCCGGCACCCGGGGTTCTAGTCCCGGTCGGGGCGCCGGATTCTTTCCCGGTTGCCCTCTTCCAGGCCAGCTCTCTGCTGTGGCCCAGGAAGGCAGTGGAGGATGGCCCAAGTGCTTGGGCCCTGCACCCCATGGGAGACCAGGAGAAGCACCTGGCTCCTGCCTTCGGATCAGCGCGGAGCACCGGCCGCAGCGCAGCCGTGGCGGCCATTGGAGGGTGAACCAACAGCAAAAGGAAGACCTTTCTCTTTCTCTCTGTCTCTCCCTCTCACTATCCACTCTGTCAAAAAAAAAAAAAAAAAAAAAAAAAAAAAGAAAAGAAAAGAAAACAAGTCTGATGACTGCAGAGAGCTGCCCTCCGGCCCCTCTGAGACCTTCGCCATCCAGGTGGGACTTCTGAGAGACACCCAGGTTCTCCCCTCTCACTGACCCCTGCGACTACAACCGTCTCTCTCTAGGTCCAGTTTTCTGTTTCAGTACGCAGCTCCCTGCAGTCCAAGACCTCACCAACCCTGGCGTGGCACTCTTTCCAGAGCGTCAGAGTGGCTCCACACCTTCAGTCCATCCTGCACCGGGACAGGTGACAGTCCTCTGACTTGAATTCACGAATGCTCCTGAATGCTAGCACACAGGGAAGAGCAGCACAAACCCGCCATGATCTGGTCCACGGCTTTCTAACTCTCAAACCCCGCTTCTTCCTCTATCTACTCTGCTATCCCAGCATGCCAGGCGATTCCACCTCCCCAGTGTTTTGGCACAGGCACAGGCACTCTTATCTGGAGTCCACCTAGCAACTTCCTACAAAACCTTCTCCTCGATTCAAACGGCACCTTCTTTGGGAAGCCTCCCCGATCTCCTGAGTTGGGCAAGTCCTCTTCTGTGACTTGCGGGAACTGAATCTTATTTACCTTCAGAGGGCCCCTGGATGCCACGGTTCAGGGCTTAAGGAATCCAGTCGCTGCCTTGAGCCTATTTAGCCGTAATTATAAGGGGGGGGCGGGCAGCTCTGGTTTGGCTCTGGCTTGCCAGGCTGACCGCGCGCCAAACTCCTGGTCGGGCGTTCCCGCAGGTGCCCAGGCCGAGCTCGCGTAGCTGGGTCGTCGGCACGCTCCGCCGCACGCGCGCGACACCCGGCGCGCCCCGCGTCGCGGCGCTCCGCCCCCAGGCCCCGCCAGCCCGCCACTAGGCCTCGAACCCGGCCTCCGCCAGGTCACGTGCGCCGTCTCGGCCAATGCGCCGCCTGCTCGGGCCCTAAGCCCCTCCTTAGGCCGCGCGCACGTCGTGGGCGGGAGTGGCGCGCGCAATTCCTCTGGCCAATTGCCGTGCAGCCCGCGGGACCCCGGTAGTGAAGGCAGGGCTGCTGCGAACCCCGAGCGCGGCAGTTGGCGCGGCGGAGCCATGGTCGGCCACCTGAGTGAGGGGGCCATTGCGGTGAGGAGAGGCTGGGAGCGGTCGTGGGCGCGGAGCCGTGCGGAGCGGGGACGGAGGAGGGGAGCCAGGGCGGTGGGCGGGACAACGCAGGAGAAGCAGATGGCGGGGGAGCCGCGGGGGTTTGCCCCGCGCTGATCGGCGCCCTCTTGTCTCGGGAGCCTTCCAGTGTTCGTTACACACGCTCAACGTTTTTCTGCCAAGAAAACAGACGTGTACTTTTTTCGCATCTCCCTCGCCGGCCGCCCTTCCCCCATTCCCCCAAACTTCTCGAGAGTCGTCTGTTTCCAGTTACTCTGGGTCCTCGCCTCGCGGCACCTGCCGTGGGTCAGCCTGGTCCCCGCGGCGCTGGGGCCTGTTGATCACCTCTGCCTTTGGCCTCTGTGGCTCAGCTTGCCTAGTCTTGTTTTTGATCCCCTGGCTCCTCCCCCTCCACCCCTGGCAACTTCATTACCATCCAGAAGGCAGTTACAGGTTTCTCTGTGCCAAGCCCCCTTTACTCAAAAAGACTTCTGTACTCATCCGTCTACCTAGTGTATCAAAGGCATCCTAAATGCCATCTGCCCGGAGCAGATCCTTTATCTTCCCAAGTCTGGGTCTCCGAATGTTACCCAGCCAGAAACTGAGTTCACCATCACTCACACGTCCAGTCCAGCACCAAGTGGAGCGTATTTTACCTTAGCATAGATCCTTTATTTATTTTTGGTTAAGATTTATTGATTTATTTGAAAGGCAGAGTTACAGAGAGACAGAGGCAAAGGGAGAGATCCTGCATCCTCTTGTTCACTCCCCAAGTGGCCGCCGTGGCTGGAACTGGGCCGATCCGAAGCCAGGAGCCAGGACCTTCTTCCAGGTCTCCCGCGTGGGTGCAGGGGCCCAAGCACTTGGGCCACTTTCTATGATTTCCCAGGCCATAACAACTGGATCGGAAGTGGAGCAGCTGGGATTCGAACCTCCACACCTATGGGATGCTGGCACTGCCGGCCGAGGCTTAGCCCACTGTGCTGCAGCACCAACCCTGTTTGTTTCTTTTTAAAGATTTCTTGTATGTGAAAGGCAGAGTTGGAGAAGGAAAAGGAGAGAGAGCTCTTCCATCTGCTCCTTCACTTTCCAACATCCTGGAGCCAGGAGCCTGGAACTCTGTGCGGATTTCCTGTGTGGGTGGCCGGGGCCCAGCACCTGGGCCGCCCGTTGCCGCTTTCTCGAGTGCATTAGCAGGGAGCTGGATTGGAAGAGGAGCAGCTGGGATTCGAACCTCCACCCCTATGGGATGCTGGCACTGCAGGAAGAGGAGCAGCCAGGGCTTGAATCAGTGCTCATCTGGATGTCAGCCAGAGGCTTAACCCCGCTGTGCCACAACCCGGGCTCCCCACGTAGATCTTTTAAATCCATCCGCTTCTTCCCATCTATGCTGGCGCCTTCATTTCTTGGCTTGATTACCCTCTTCCCACTATTCTTTTCACTCTCTTCTGTAGCCTTAAAAACAACAACAACAACAACAAAAAAAAACCTTTAAATTCCTGATACATTGCATACTCTTGCCTTGTGTGGGGCTTTTGAACATTCTTTTCCTTCTGCCTGGGTTCTTCACTCCTCCCTCATTGGCTAACATAATTTTCAAATCTTAAGCTCAGTAGTTACTTTTGGGGGAAGTCTTCTTTGACTTCACTTACTAGGCTAAATTCTTTTATTTTGGGACTGTAATTCCTGTGTGTTCCCTTGTTAGATCTGTGACTTTGGGCAGGACACTGGACTGGTTTCCTTCTGTAATATCAGGGTGATGATGCCTAGTACCTTTTGCATAAAGTAAGAAAGTGTGTTAATACATTTAAGTGTTTAGCTCATTGCCTGTTACATAGTAAATGCTCAGTATATGTTACCTGGGATTAATAGTCACACGTGTAATTTTACATTGATTGCTTATTGATTAATTGCTTATTGATTAATGTCAGTTACGGTCTGTCTCCTCCAGTAGGTTGTAAATTCCATGGGGCCTGCAGTCATGCTGGGTTTTTTTGGTTCCCACAATGTCCCCAGTACCTGGAGCAGAGCTGACGAGTTGTAGGTGCCTGGCAAATGTTTGCTAGCTGCGTGAATGATTAAGACAGCGGAAAGAAGGATAGAGCTGGATGGGGAAGAAAGGCAGGAAGGGACAGACAGCTGTCAGAGTTGAGTGAGTTTTGTAGTAAGTTAGGGATGGATGGATGCCGAAGCCTGGGACTTGTTGCAACTTGTAGCCCTCCTTTACTTTGTAGCTGCTGCCTTGCACCTTTGGGAGAAATAAGGGTATCTTCACTTTAAATGGAATGTTTGTGTTTATAGGTTCATTTAAACAGTTTAGTTTTCCTTAAAAAATTTTTTTAAAGATTTATTTATTTGAAGGCAGGGTTACAGAGAGAGGAGTAGGTAAAGATCTTCCACCTGCTGGTTCACTCCCCTCATAGCAACAACAGTCAAGGCTGGGTCAGGCCAAAGCCAGGAGCCTGCATCTCCCACATGGGTGGCAGGGACCCAAGTACTTGGGCCATCCATTATCCACTGCTTTCCCAGGCACACTAGCAGGGATATGAACCCGAAGTGGAACAGCTGGGACCAGAACCGATGCCCATAAGGGATGCTGATGTTCCTGGTGGCAGCTTAACTCCCTGTGCCACAATGCTGGCCTCTTCTCAAATACTGCTTGGATTTTGTTTGTTGTTTATTTTCTTAATAAATGAGAAAGGAAGTTTTTGCATGTGTGTGTGTGTGTGGTGATGGAGTGAGGGTGAGGAATCTCTGGGCTGTGACCATCACCTAAAGCAAGTATCATTTTCGTTACAAAGACAGCCCCAGAGAGTAAGCAAGTGAAACACAAAGGGTGCAGGCATTCTGGACGAGAGCTTACACGGGGAGCTACTGTGGGAAATAGAATAGACAGCATTTGTATGTTAAGTCATTGGGTCGTAGAAAGAAGGGGGAATAGAAGTGCTGTTTTTGACCATTTTCAATATGCCATACTTTATGATAGTACTTAAGTACCCCTGATAGGTACTTTTTTTTTTTATTATTACCCCATTTTACAAATGAAAAAATTCAAGTGCAGATGGTTGTGAGGATTTGAATGCACGTGCTCTTGATTAGGCCTAGTATTTTTAGTAACAATGTTAATTTGGAAAATTTAAGACTTTTTATCTTAAGTATATATGTAATGCTCTATGCTTTAGAAAAAAGTAGTGTTACAGTTGTTACCGGAGAAAATGCAGGGTTCTTGTCTTTGTGCAAGAAAGAATTCAGGCGTGAGACAGAGTAGTGGGAGGTAAAATAACAAGGTTTATTAGGGTAGGGACATCCGTAAGAACGGATGGGCACCTCTCCAGACAGGACCTGAGAGAGAGTGCCCTGTCGCTCAGACTGGGGTAGGGGGAGCGAGGTTACATGGTTGAGTAGAGAGAGATTACACCTGGGCAGACCAGGTGGGCGGCTCAGCAGAGAGGTGGAGGGCTGAGCGCGCAGTCCGGTTGAGGGGTGGGGGCGGTTATGGAGATGGGTCTTGCTTCCCCACCTCTGCTCCTTTTGGAACATTGGAACAAAGGGCTTTTTGGATGTAAATAGAAAAACTTCTGAGTTTTCCCCTGAAGGTATCAGACAGGAGGAAGGCTAGCTGGCACCTTCCTGAGTTTAGAGGAAGGGTGAGCAAGACCCCCTGGAGAATGGGAATGGGGAGCTGGGTGTTTGAAATGCAGATACTGGGCTGCATCTGGGAGATTGTGGAACATTTGTCAGGCAGAGGGGCGGTGACCCCCCACCTGGCAGGTTATCAGGTAGAAGGGGCAGGGCAGGATTCGAAGGCCAGGCTGCCCCTGAAACATTGTCAGGATGACTCAGATGCAGATGCATATGCTGGACATAGATGTCTTCTCTTTATGCCTTTAGGTCACACACACATAAGCTCATAACTGACTTCCTACCTAACACAATCAGTATTTATGATGACATTTTAAAGGAAGAAAGAATAGTGAAGTGATACATGCATGTGGTTTTATTTTGGTAGTGTGGGTGCCCCCAGGCTAAGGCCCAACTGCCCGGGGCACATCCTCACTCCTGTTGTCACGCCTCAAACTCGGGAATAGATCTGGGTTTTGGTCCCTGTCCCTGAGCAGTTGGCGCTGCTGTGGAAGTGCTTTTTAATTTAATAGGCAGGAATTTGGGGGTGTCTCTATCGCTGGGTCACTCCCCAAATGTTTGCATCATTCAGGACTGGGTCAGTCCAAAGCCAGGAGCCTGGAACTCAGTCCAGGTCTTTGATGTGGTTGGCAAGAACCCAATCACTTAAGCCATCACTGCTGTCTCCCACAGTCAGCACTAGCAGGGAACGGGCCTCAGTAGCCTGGGGCGTGCATGAAACCCAGGAGCTTTGATTTGGG